TTAACATTTCTCTATTGTTCATGATTACTGCCTAGGTTACTGGTTCAAGCATCTTGATTTTTATTTGTGTTTGCTTTTGTTTCATTCTTTTATGTTGAATTTGGAGTCTGTTGTTACTTGTATTTTTATTGTATTACGTGTTTTGACTAGATCATATATTTTATAAAGTGAATAACTGAAGATGAAAACTTTTAGCTAAATTTCAGAATATGTGCACAAAAATATATGTGCAGTGCAACACTGAATACTGCTTAATTCAGCCTTCCTCAACCTTACTGCTCTCCAGGTGTTTTGGGATGCAGTCTCCTTCTGTGAGGATAGTTTGCTATATGAAGCCTATATCTTACAGGACTAAAATATTGCATATTTTATTAATTTCAGATGATAATTGTGAAATTACCTTGAAATTTGAAGTGCCACATGTTTGTTTGTTTGTTTGTTTAGAATATTTATATGCCATCCTGTCACAAAAGCCTCAGGACGGCTTACATAAATGAAATAACATAAAATATAACAAGAATAAATTACCAACCCACACTGGCTACAGCTAAAAACATCTAGGAGACAATATTAAACTTATTAAAATATTGCTGAAATAAAAAGTTCTTAACCTGGCACCAAAAAACAAATAACGATGGCGCCAGGCAGACCTCTCTGGGGAGCGCATTCCATAGGCATGTTCTGTGCCCTCTTCAGTATAAACTTGTTCTTTCTCCAGCATGAACTCACCCTGTATAAACTCTCCAGTGTACTCTCCAGTATAAACCAAATCCAGTATAAACTTATTCATAGTCCTGGGTATAATATCCTTAGGATATGTCCCACTCAGACTGAACTGGGTGTGAGGTCTGCAAGTTCTATCACTCTGAACAGGTTTAGGAGATTCCGCATCTAATTCTAATTGGTTTTTCAAGAAAACCTTTATTCTCTATTTCAGATCCCTTAAGAAAGTTTTGGTTTTCAAAGTTCTCCAGTTATTCTTCTAAGTTTGTTGTGTGTTTAGAAATGGAATGGTTTTCTGTAGCTGAATAAAATGCTGCTCTTATGCCTTAGCTATTGTAGCTTTTGTTTTTATTGGTTTTTTTAAAGTTGCTGTTTGGTTGGAGATAGCATGGTGAGCATATCTGATACTAGTTCATTTTAAACTTAGTTTTGAGCTTTAGTCTAAAGACGGCCAGCATAGCAGTGTCCAAATCACCAAAGGTTGAGCTGCAGGAGGTGGGCATTGAGCTTGCAACTGCTTTTACTCCCTCAGAGGCTGCATCTACAATTGTGCACCTTGCATACTAAATTAATTCTGAATAATAATGCTATTGCTCCTCTGCAAGAAGAGTCCCTGGCTTTGCAGACGCATGCTCAGGGCATTCTCAGCAGGACTGACAAACCCATAAACCTTTGTTGCTAGTGTTGCATGTGGGAGAGTTTAATATTTAAACCAGTCTTTCCCAATTTGGTGGTATTCAGATTTTTTGGACTGCAACTTCCAGAATTATGGACCATTGGTCATTCTGACTAGAACTTATGGAAGTTGAAACACCTGGAGGGTAAAATATTGGGGAAGGCTAGTTTAGATTGTCATCCTGACTCACTGCCTTCAGTATATTTCTTTATTTAAAACTTTTATATGCCATCCCTTATGCATCTTAGGACAGCTTACAATCAATTAAAATCAAATACATTAAAACAATAAATAAATAACATAAAGCCTATAAAAATAAATTAAGTAAAACACGACTGTTACATTAAAATCCTACTTTTTAATATAACAGTTAAATGAAAAGGTTTTGACCTGGCAACAAAAAGAGTATAAACTCGGCAAACCTCTCCAGGGAGCACATTCCATGATCTGGGTGCCACCGCAGAGAAGGCCCTATTCTGAGTAGATGTCCTTTTTACCTTCTTCAGGGAAGGTATAGTGTTGAGTAAAGAGAGAAACAAGATCTACTTCTATCTGGTTTCAGGCTGATATACTGGAGAGACAGTGCTTTAGTCTCCTTAGCAAATGATCTATACTGGGATTGGGTCAGGTGGAGTATGCCCTTGTTATTGCTTTAGGAAGCTTTTAATGCCCTCCACTGTGGTATCTTTCTGAGGTATTTGTCTGAAGGTGCAACTGGACAGCACTCTTGCACAGTGCTCTCAAATTGGATGGGCAATATCAGAAGCTGGTCTTAGGGGATTCCTGTTCAACACCAGGATTCCATCTTATCTCCCATGGAACTTAATATATACAAGTATGTGAAAACCTGATAAATGATTGTCCAAATGCTCAGGTTTCGTTGGCAACTAGAAGTGCTTGCTGACAGTCAAAATCCATTTTATCCAGAAAGACCTTTGACCTGTAACTTCGGTTGGATGCTATTTTTATATTTTTTCTGTAATTGCTGTTTTGTCACATATGTTAATATATTATTTAATTGGATCCATTTTAATTATACCTGTAAACAGCCCTGAATACCAGTTTTGATAAAAGAGTGGGCTACAATTAATAAGTAAAACATTTATTTTGATTCTTTAAACTCACTCATCTGATATAAACTTTGTGGCAGAAGTCCTTTTTATCTAGTTATTTGAGAAATTCATAAGTAGGTTGAGTTGGAGTACCAAGACTGCTGTCAAGAGGATAGGCCGTTTACAGGATTAAAAGTATAAATATTTATTTTTGCCAGGGAGAGTGGTAGGCATACTGGTCAGGGTTCAAAGAGTTGTATAACTTCTACAGCATACATTAGTCCTCTTTAGACTGTCTTCCACTTCAGACCCCGATTCTCTTCCTACTACTGATTCATATAGGCCCAATATATCCTTGAGGAAGGGAGATCCTTGAAAGTTTCACCTGATCCAAAATAAAATCAACAGATTTTACCATGTGTCAGAAATAAGAGTTATAGTATGATTAGATTGATTATGGAATAAAAAGAAAAAAGGGAATAAGACAGATATTAGAAATTGAAAACCAAGGGTAGTTTTAAAAGAATCTTGCTACTGATGTACATCTAGTCTTTCAAAAGTAGGGTGGGGGTATAAGAAAGAAGAGGGGTGTTGCTTATGAATCCATATAAATGTGCTTTGTTCTGCATGAATGTTTTAATACAGCAAGTGTAATATAAGGATCAGGTGGGCTCATGGAAATGAACAAAAGGTTTTTAAAATTTAAGCAAAAATAATTATAGCTCTAGGTGCAAAATGAGTACACTGCTTAAGTTTATAGATGAGACCAGTTCAATTTGTAGAAGACAGGAGAAAGTCAGAAATGCAAGTATGTATCTCTGTGTTAACTGACTGGTGCTTAGTTTGAGCATCTTGAAGAATAATGTACCCACACATTTTTTATTGAAAATGTTAAAGAATGATAAAAGATAATCCATTATCAGCAACAAAAACCAAAGGAGAGCATCGTATTGTATGGAATAATGCATAAATTCATGCATCATAGGGTCATGCATTGAAAACTTAGACCCATTGCACTCAATCAAGACTACATATTTTCAGAAATTATGTGGAAATCTCAAGAGAAGTCACCCAAAAGCTGAGAATCATTCTGGTGTACAAAATGTTCACTACATATATGCTTCCTAATTACATTGGGTTTGGTCTATACTTTCATTCTGAGGGCAGTAGTGTTCCCTACATGGAGTTCAACCTGGAAAACTTCTGCTATCGGAAAAGGAAACCCAATTTCCCCCACTTGTAGCCCCCTGTGCTACGCTCTTGCTTTTTTCAAACCGTACCCATGTCCTTGAAGCAGTTTTTTCATGTAGAGGGGGACTATACAAATGGGGAAGAATCAACAAACATCACTTCTTCCTCTCTTCCACAAGCAGAAGTCTAAATCAGAAGCCTCCTGTTTATGCCTTTCAGATGTTTTAGGCTATAGTTCTCATCTATCCCTGCCAGCATGGCCAGAATTGTGGTCAGAACTCTCTAGAGTGTACCACGTTGCAGAAGGCTACTTTAGCCTGGCAATTTCATTGACGGGATCCTCCACTGTGGCATTAAAATCCTTTGTCTAGAGTTTTTCTATAAAATATTGTAAGATGGCATTCAGGGAAATCATATGCAAGTTTACTTAGAACTAAGCCGCAGTTTTGTATGCACAGGATTACAGCTGTGGATTTCAAGGTGAAAACAGAAAGTAAAATTCTGCTTCAAGACTTAAAATCATAAACTTGTAAATTAGCTGTTTGTCTAATACTATTTATGTTATAAAAATTAATATATACAAATTGTCATACACAGCTGTGAGGATGGTCGGGCAGAGTTCTTCGTCGTGGCCTCTGTGCATCACATATGGGTGCTGCGCCTGCGCAGTGCCTAGGCCGGAAGATTAAAAAGCTAACGGTTTTTGGCAGGAAAACTCCGCTCCCCTCCCCCTTCGTGGTATAAATAGAGCGGAGTGTCTGCCATTTTGTTCAGTCTTTGCGACCGCCGTTCGCTGTGCCTCGTGCCTGTTAACGTCCTCGCTAAGATCTTGAGTCCTTACTGTTCCTTTTGCCTTTATCCCTCTCTTTTTCTTCTTCTCAAAAAACAAACAAACAAACAAAAAAACCGAAAATATTATCTTACCCTCTATCCTGTCATCTTTTCTTCTTTTTCCGCAATGGCGCAGCGAGCGGCCTTTCGCAAATGCACCGCATGCGGATCCAAAATGTCACCTGAGGATCCACATGATCTATGCCTCCTCTGCCTCGGCGAGGGGCATAGAACTGACAAGTGCGGCCATTGCTTGGCCTTTACCAAGCAAGCGCAGAAGAACAGGGAGAACCGTCTCCGCAAGCTCCTCTGGCCTTGATGCAATCGGACCAACTGCTCTTACGGCCTGGTTCCTCTTCAGCCGCACCACCTCCCCCACGCTCCACCCCAACTGTGACCGCTCCTCAGCGTCCTTCTGCTGAAGGCACTACTCCAGCGGAGACCCAGGTGCCACCTTCTTCCCCAGCCAAAAAACGGGAGAAGCGCAAGCACACGGGTTTGGATAAGCCTTCCACTCGTAAAGTTCTGAGGAAGGAGAAGGCAGATAAACCCGCTCACAAGACCAAGAAACCCGATCGCCCCAAACACCGGGGCTCGGGTTCATCTGTTTTTGCGGTACCATCTGCCACCACGGTACTGATCCCTTCGGGACCGGCCCTGCAACTTACTATACAGGTAACACCGCCGGGATCCCCCAGGCCTTTCATTCGGCCTGAGAGCGTGCCAACCCAACAAGTGGAGGAGCCGCTTCGGGAGTCTATCTCTGATGGTGAGATTAGAGACTCCCCACCGAGGGAACGGTCTCCGACTCCAATGCCCACGACTGAGCCACCTGTGGAGTCACCTTCACCTCCAAGGCACTGCAGCCGCTCGTCCGAACACCGGGGTGACGACTGGAGGATGCGCAAATATGGTGCCTTCCCAGACTGGGGTGGCTATCAATCTTATTCGTACTACCCTCGGGATTGTGCGTCTCCCATCGGCCCCGAGAGATTCGCCTTCGACGGCCAGGCATGTGGAGGGGGGACATCCAACCTCCCCAGAAACGTCGTCTTTGAGCGACCATCCACTTTATTATTCAGATTCGGACGAATCCGAGGTTGACTCTACATCCCCCGATGTAGCAGT